GTAGTGCACCCTGAGAATAACCGATCCACACTGCTGCAGGCAATCATGCTGATTAATCTGGCAAATCAGCCCACAATTTAAGTAAATTAAAGATTGGAAAGATACTGTCAGGTCCAGCTTACCAGTGCTGGTTGAACTAAATTTAAATGCCAGAGGAATTTCTTCTTCACTATGCCAGTAAGCTTTCTCAATTGCTTCTGGTTGCATAATGCATTAAACACCAAAGCAAACCCAATGAGACTGAACTTAAACCACCCTACAGCGTGTTTGTCTAGTACCATGTCATTTTGATGCCGCTGCTTTATTCATTCTCTGAATCTGAATAAAAGAAATCAGATGGCTTGAATCCTACACCACTGTGGAAAAAGTCTGGCTCCCATGAAGAGCACAGACCCTGCATGGGGAGGGAAGAGACCATGTGCTCAGTGACCTTACCCAGCAGAACACCCGCCATCACCTAATAGGGCTGGAAAGAGAAGGGTAGCTGGGCTGGGAGAAGGTCCAGCTCTTCTAAGCCTGACACATCCCCGAGATTGCTGACTATCCACACGGTCAGTTACTAATAGCCTGTTTACACTGCGCAGTGCCCCCTAATTCATCAGGTAGCAGAGAAAGCACAGATATCTGCACAGGACAATTTACCACTCAGTGTACCACTCAGGGCTGTATTTCTCTTCACAAAGTAAACTAATCCCATCCCTCCTGTGCAATGACAACCAGGCTGCTTCGGATGCCGGAATCACATCAAGAAACCTGTGCAAACATAGAGGTTTGCAATACAGGTATTGCATGACAGTCTTTTAATCTCAAAATGGAAAGCTTCTATTTAGAAAACAGAGTCCTCTATGTCCTTCGGAGAAGCTTCTAAGGGAGGCAGTGCATTGCAGGGAGCTGGGGCAGGAACAACCAAGCGGGTATAATGCTATAGATGGTCAGAGACTCTATGCCGCTCAGTTAAAAATCATACATAGCATGAAATGAAACAGTCTCTTGCCTTGCTGCAACACACCATTTCTCATTTCCACAAGAACAGGCACAAGGAAAACGTTTAACGTAAAAACTACTCCAAGATAATGCATTTTCTCACCAGATGTCCTGACTTCTCATGGCTATTCTGGGCTCTGCTCTACTTCATGACTGCCACCCTCAGTCTCCATAGCCAGCGCTTTGCAGCAAGCGAGCTGCCTACGGTGCCAAACCTCGGTGCAGCAGCATGAGCGTGACGATGTGCAGCAAAAGCAGCCAGGATCAGTGGCACAGCAGGAACGGTGGGATCCGCCTCCCCTCTCCATCCCCCCGCCATACTGCTGGTAACTCCTGCCGGGAGCAGGCACAGAGGGTGACCGGCTGCGGTGCAGCCCCCTGTGCCAGCACGGCATGCCGGGCAGAGTCCGGGCATCCCCGCCAGCCACCGTTTGGGCTGGGAGCAGGCTCGGCTTGGCTCTGTGGCACTGGGAGCAGGCAGGCCTGTTCAGAGGGCACTCAGGGGCCACACGCTGCGGTTTGTAACTGTACTAGTGATTTACGAGTGATTGCAACAGTGTAGGGATCTGCAGAGAGGTGGCTGGCTGAGGACAAAGAATAACAGCTAATGCATGGGAACTTTACCACACACGGAAAGAATTCCAAATGTTTTTAGCAAATGCTGGGGTGATAGATTTTCCAATAAGTATACCATTTAACAGCAAATTATTTTCTCCTGAATATGGGAATAAATGCAACAGCTTTGAGTTAACTGTTCCCACACCACATGCAAAGCTAACTTGCACATATTCCCATTTGCTAACACCTAAATTAGATGTTCTAAAAGTCAATACAATTTCATCTTTTCATTTTAATATACAGGGAAAGTAAAAAAAAACCGTAAATTTACAGTTTCATATTCAAAAGTGAATTTGTTCTAGAACTCCTAGCCCAACCAAGGAACCATGCAGGTGCAGTTTTAAAAGCCGACCAATTTACTTGCCTGTACAGACAACCAACAATTAGAGACTAACTTTCCCATAACAAGGACAAGATGTTCCTTTATAGACAGGACGTTCAACTCAAGGCTGAGGTCTACCAAACAGGTATCCATATGAGGTGCTTTAAGTAACGTTTCCTTTAACATTACTTCATCAAAGCAATACTTGTGAAAAAATATTTTCCTTGCTCTTTGGACTTTGTATTTGGACTCCCAAGCTTGTTACCAAGACCCAGAGAAGCACTTTCTTTAAGCAGAAAGCTCCATGTTCTCAAGCACAGAACAGGCCCAGCCCGGCTGAGAACACAGCAAGGTGTGTGTTTGCAGAGGCAAGGTACAGATGTGGACCTGCAACACGCCGCTGTGGAAAGCAGCACCTGTCCTGGTCAGCCCAGGAACCGGCCCCTTTCACATCCCCAGTGCACACAACCCCTGCAGACTTCAGCAGGCATTTTCCTGCAGTAAAGACTAGTGAAGCAGGTGCCATCGGGCCATGCTCTCGTGGGTAAGAGCTGCATGCCGCTATAAATAAAGCATGAAGTCTTGGTAAAGGTTCACAATCGGCACTTCTGAGCCCATCCCAGTCGCGTCTTATGGCAACCCACAGCGCACCTCAGGTTTTCACGCCACCCAAGGGGCTGCGGTAGGCAGCTGGCACCACCCCAAGGAGCACAGTGCCCAACCCACCCTGCACCCTCACCAGCCCCCTCAGCTGCCCTCACCTCCTGCTGCCTCCCGGCGTGCCGCAGGCCGGCGGCCCAGGGGAAGGGCAGCGCCCGAGCTCTGCTGCCCAATGCTCTGCTGCCCAGCCCTGCTCCCACCACCGGGCACCGGGCGGACCAGGCTGCTGGGACACCACTGCCCCCACTTCCAGCCTGCCCTAAAAATACCTACAATGCAACAGAAAATAAAAATCTCCAGTCAAGGGTAATATTTTGACTGAACGGCAGTGGGTTTCTGGGGATTCAGTGAAAGGCATTGAGAAGTTTTGTCTCACCTCCATGTCTGATGAATTAGTTGCTTCCTGAGCAAAGGTTTGATGGTGGGGTCAGCAGATCTGCTGGTCAGCAGGCTGAAGGTTCTGCCTCAGTGCTGCTTGCAAGGGCCCAAGGTCAGAAGGAATGACTATTTAAAGGCTTATTTATTAGAACCACATATCTGATCACGAAGGAAATGCTGCTGGTTTGCAGAAGGAACAGAGTGAATGCTCCCGCCAGCAGCACTACCTGGAGTCGGCCTGTAGGTGCAGCCCGATTTACCCACAGATCATACGCACTTGTTCTGAGGAGCTGGCAGGAAAGCGTAGCATTACATTTATTGAAAATATTGATTCACGCATGATTAGGAACACAGTACCACTTTGGAAATATGGTTACCAGCAATATCAATATCTTAAGTAACATCAGACATCAACCAACCGCGTGGTCCACTTTGATCACGCTAAATGTATTTTCTTTCTAGATCTGTCCATACCCCATAGGTCTGGTTAGTAGGCCTCCTTCTGCTGGCAGAGTATTCTATGCAGATGGACCTGTCCCAGCACTCCAAGAACAGAGATAATATTGCAGTTTAACAGAAGAAGAAAAAGGAAACAAAAAAAGCCATGTGAACCTACTATCCTAAGGCTCTGTTTGAGACTGGCAAGCTAAGCTGGAAGCTTATCCCTATGGCCAAAAGCAGAATACAATGGAAGCCTTCCCCAAGAAGAGAGAATTTACAGCTTTTATTAGGTCTTACAGATAACCATAGTATGCTTTATCAGTAGTCACTGTATGGACCAAAAGAGATATACTGTTAATGTGAACATACGATATTAGTAACCTAGTATTACCACAGAAATGGAAAAAACCTTTTTTATAGCTGGCTAAACTCAAGAGGTGTTTCTATTAGTTTACAAATGGCCTCATTATCATATAACCTGCAGTTCTAGAGCTGAGGCACTACAGCACAGGCATTAAAAATCTCCCCCAAATTCCCAGTTTTATATATGCTATGACTAAAATTTTAAAAAATCATTTTCAGACAACTTCAGTCTCAAATCTCTTAAGTCTCTAAAATTTGTCTTAAATCTCTGGATATCAAAAACCTCTAACATACTTTCTCCTGAGGATAATTAGCCCCCCAATTATTTTTTAAGTATACCTGAAATACATTGATAATTTACAAACATGTTTCAGGGTTACATGATTGGTAAGTAAACGAGTCTTTGGTAAACAATAACTACTATGTTCTTTTCTCAGGTAAAAATCTTACTTGATTTTTAAATCTAGATAACTGATTTTTAAAATAATTATTTCTATAATGAGTAAGGCTCATATGGCACAATGCTGAGTAGGATGAATAGGTATATGTAGCAAAAGATGAATGATGTTTTCAGGTTACAAGTCCTGTTAATTGTAGGCTCCTGCTCTGGCTCGTTTTCTTTTTGTGCCCTTCAGCCAGGCCCAGGAAGCTGAATCTGAATGAGAGCTTTCTAATGAATTCTATTCCCAGCATTTAAAGGTGTCAGCCATCTAGAAAATACTGTCCATTGCAAGGATAGATTCTACAGTAGGTACTGGATAGTATGCTAAAAACTACAACAAACCAATTAGTTTAGGGTTGAAATAATACATTATAGCTGCAATATTTCCTAAAAATGTCTGCTTTACCACTTGTGCAGTAAAACACAAAAACTATGCACTATGCATGCGTGTGCGCGGTGGAGATGACTGCTTGCTCCCAAAGGAAACCTAAAGGCACAGGACATAGGTAATGTGAATGAAAGTCTGCTAACAAACACTGCCTTCTGTTTTATTATGAGAATCCAATTAGAAACTGAATGCAAGCTGATATTTTTACTGTTTGTGCACTAGGTGCCTTCACTTTGGCTAAAAGATACTATACCATGTCTTTAAGAAAAATAGCAGCATTAAACAGATCTCATAATTTCAGAGAGAAATAAAAATATGTCTGCTTTAGGTTTGTCTTACAGGGTTTTGGGGATTATTTTAAACATGTCCAAGAAATGATCAGAATATTTTCAATGACTGTTAATAGTTTCAGTGTTCTACTACAGTTTTTTAGTCATCATCTCTGTTAAAGGATCAATTACATTTGAAACAATAAATAGTATACTTTACAATAAATAATATTCAAAGTGTATTTACAAAATAATGTAACACTGTAATAGGATCTTCAAGATCAATTCCATTTTATATATTCTGCAGCAAAAATAACATTTTTAGTAGGAAGGAATTACTTATAAACCTAGCAAGATCTACACATTCACATGTGTGTGTAAACAACTTAACAAGGTTTATTATGTTTCCAATGAAGCTATGCTTTTACAGTAGGTTTTCAGCTAAATGTTATCATAATATGGTAGTAAATATACAATAGTGTTTATATTTAGCTCCATCACAAATTTTAATTTGCAAAAAAAAAGGAGTGCCATTATTTACAAAGAACAGCAACTTTCCTTTTGTTTCACAAGTGACTGTATCTGTGTGTGAACAAAATGTTAGGGCGAGGCATGCCAGACGAACTGCAGCTAAGGTTGGACGAAGATGATTTCGTGATGAAGAGTGAAGGTCCTGGCAATAAATACCTAGAAAGGATATGAAAAATATAGCAGAGTTTACAGGCAAAGTGACATTCAAGAGCGAAAGAAGTAGTTGTTCATATGCCATACCTTAAAATTATATGCAAGATTATATACAATAAATACTATTTATAAAACATACAGGGCATTAGGCACTAGCTAACTCAAGAAACAGATCTAAACTCAGACAAACTCTTAGCAAAATTTCAAGATGTTGAATGAGGATCAAGCATCTTTCAAGTCCTTTATGTTTAAAGAAAGCAGATAAATAAAACAACAGCAGCCTTTGTGACAATACTACCAAAATTTAACATTTCACCCATTTTTGTCTGTTATTACAGTACTATTTATTCAATTTAAGCAGAGTAAAGACTGCAATTGATGTTAACCAGCTTATAAAAAGTTAAGTTGTAAAAGCAGTTGATTAGAGGAAAAAACCTAATTTTTCAGCCTTGGTTTCCAGCTCTAATTCTATGAAACAGACATGCTACCATCAATACTCTAGTAAAGCAAGAAACAATGCTGTTACAACCTAGCAAGTCACATCAGTGACCTTTTACTTTTGAAATTCAGGTAACTACATAGCCTGCATTTAATTTAATATTGCAAACAATCATTTATCATATGCCTAATATTCATTCTTAAATCTTTTCATGTTATCATTTCCTAATAGTTAATTGCCAAAGTCAGTAGATGAGCACAGTAAGTGAGCAAAAATAACATCCACACTAAATCAGAATTTCATAATGACTTATGTCAACGTTAGGATGGATTAACACTACACATTGTATAAATTATTGCTTGAAAATTGTTGCGTCATTCTAGTGAATCATATTGATTAATGATGAGTAAGTTAAAAGACTGATCCTACTAATCACATGGATAGATAGATACAGCATCACACAGTAGGAGACAAGAAAGTGTACACATTTGGTTTGTTTAAGGTTTGAGAAAAGCTGTTATTACAAAAATATTATCACCAACATATGTTTAAAACAATTTACAAAAAAATAAAGCCTGATTTGGTACGGGTTGGTGGTGAGCTTGACAGTTCACTGCATCACCACACCGAGTCCTACCTTTGCTTAACAATACAGTAAAAACCTCAAATGTTTCCCAGAGAATACGCCATGTGATACATAAGATTATTTAGCAAGCTGTAAGGATCTGGCAGTAGATGGATGGGTTGTGGGGTTTTTTGATTTTGCAACACAGATGAATTTATCAAAATATGAAGTCTGACATTTTATACACAGTTTGATTTTAGCTATTATATTAAAGAGATTTTTATATAGTTTTTGAGCTCTCCTATAGATTTCTTTACACTTTTAATTTTGTGAGGAAAAATATTACATTAATACACATTTACATTAATAATCTATGCATTCTCTTTATGACATATATTGGATTTACAGTCAGGAGGTGGGAGTGAGAAAAAATCTGAAAAGTGATACAAGAACTCTGTGGCTGCTTTCATTATCTTTTTCTCTCTCCCTGTACAAATATTTTCTCCCAGCTATAGAGGTATCTATTTGTAATCTTTGAAAGCTTTAGTTTCACAAACACTTGTTTTACAAACACAAACAAAACAAAAAATTGGTTTGTGCTTAGAAAAATTCTTCAAATTAGATTTTTTAAGTCTTGAAAAAAATTACTTCTTGTACTTCTATTACTCTGATCTCTTCTTGCACTTCACACAATTTTACAGAGAGTCAAGAGAACTACTAAAAGTAGCATAGATTCTTATATAATATAAAAACAGAAACCTAGATGAAAAGTGAAATAGCATTGTGCTTCTCCCATTTCTAGAAATATATTTCATTACCTTACAATTGTGGGGCATAATGGTCAAAAGCATTTATTTCCATACCTTTCTTTCATTTCACAGATTCAGAGTATGATGGTTAACTAGCATATTGTTTTATCCACAGTATAGATGTAACATTTGTGGAGAGTAATATAAAAACTGTAACCATAATCAATGACAACTCTATTGCTGAAGACATGCTGATGTTTAGGATATTGAGGGCTAAGATTCCTCTAGCCTGTGAAATTTATGAATAGACTTCCATTCAGTGTCCAAAGAAACACAGAAGCTACAGACAAGAAAGTTCTACTGGACGATCCCTTTCACTTTTTTCCAAATGCAAGCCTGTTAGCTGCAGTCCATTAGAGTAATCCAACCAGTTTGAATAGTTCATGGCTGGTCATGATGAAGAATTTTCTGCAGTATTAACAGTAAAGGCAATAAAATCTTCAAGGTTTAAGAACTTCTAGTAATAGCTAATCCAGGTGACTTTACCACACTCTTCCTATAGCTCAGTATATGTTAATGTTGAATATGATTTGTTTTGTGGCTAACATACTTTTGCTGTGAGCAAACAAATCCAGTTTCTGGTTAGTTTTAGATAATGTTAGAGTGCCTTAAGGTCCACATGACAGTAACAAATGGGTTCGGTGTATCAAATAACTACTCTGAGATATAGCAAGGAGGCAATTAAGTCGTAAAATAACTTCAACAGATAATATATCAAAGGTTTGCTTTTCACATAACATTTAACTCATAAAGCCCTGCTATGAAATCATGTCTGTAAGATGTTTTATATAAACAAAACATTTGTAAGTTTATATACATAATAATTCAAATTGCCATTATAGATAGAATTAGGGACCAAAGTAATTTGAAACTTACATTTAATTCTCCACCTATAACTTTTCAATTGTAGATCACTGACTCACACAGTTGAAGTATTTTCAGTAATCCCTGTACTAACAATATTAAAATCCCTATTGTATCAGGTTGGAGAACTAAATCAGCCAATGGAGAATCGGGTAAGTGCCAAATAATTTTTTTACTATATAATGCTGTTTTGCAAGGTTTGAAAATGTATTTATGCTCTGTAAGAAGAAATAACAAAAATTTCAATTTCTTAGGTTTTGGAAATCAACTTTGCAAAACTGTGCAATACAGTAAATCAGATGGCACTTACCTGACCCTTGGCTGGAGCTGTGCCCCTATAGCATCCCACTGCGAATGTGAAGCCAGAAGTATCATACATGTTAGGATACCTCTAGGAATGCAAATCTGGAATCAGTGACTTTGAGGGATCTGAGAAGGGGAAGAGAGGAAATTTTCAGTTCACTTTATGGCAAACTTTTACTGCAGCTACTTGGGCAGTAGGCAATAAGACTTTAGTAAGCGTAGTTTCACAGAAAATGTGTATATCTACTCTTCTTTTAGTAGCACTTCATGAATGAGCTAGAGAGATTAGAACAACAGAAACTCAGGATCAAGGGAAATGTTGGGAGTTTTGCCTGTTTTTAAAAAATACATTGTGAACTAGGCTTAAAGAGAAGTGTAGTGAGAGCCACACAGAGTGAAACTTGCTCCAATATTATCCTTTATACTTATCATTTAGGAAGAGAATATTGAAACGTGTACCTTGTATCATCCCAGTGGGGGCTAATCCCAGTTGGAGATCCTCTTGAATCTGATGAATATTTGTAAACCACCAGCAGGCAGTGTTTACAAAGCTGTACTACTCGTTGGCAACACTGGAGTTGCTCAGGAGTCACCACCTCTGTGCTTTTACTGAATATGGTTTCCCAAGAGCTCCTGTTATGGAAAAAGACCCGACTCTATGTTTTCTGCCACTAATTGCAATCCGAGAGCTTTACTGCTTTATGTCAGATTTAACAATAGCGGAACAAGAGCAAAAGCATGACCTTGCCTGTTTACAGGAAAGGTCTATACTGTTTAACACAAATGCTGGCAGATGCTGAGTCTAAAACACAAATTACACAAATTAAGAAGCTAAGCTTCATATGTGAAATGTCTACAGCCATTTTTCACTTGGTTTGTTCCCTAAAGCATTTATAGGGCCATTACTTAGGTTTAGCACATAAAGATTTACTGTCACCTAATTGTATATGTATCTTACACCAGGAATAACAAAACACACTTATTTTTAACAGGCTACCACCTGAATGTGAATATGATGTGATGTTAAAGGAATTAATAAAAATAATAAATTATTCCTAAATGTCCACAAAGCATAATACTACTCTTCTTCTAATTTAAGTACATGAAACTAAGAAATAAATACGAAATTAATTTACAGGAGATTAGTACGTGCTCTGCTTCCTTATCCAAATAATCATATGAGGAGAGTTTCTCAGTTTGGCTATGCAAAAACTGCTTGTTACTCCATCTGATCGTATAGGGTTGGTATTCTACAATTAGGTGCAACTTGCAAAGTGTACCTATAGAAGCATTCCTTTTTGAAATGCAGACCAACATGCTTCTGTTTTCTCAAAATGCCACTTCTCTTTTCAAAAATACCCAAACCTTACCATACCAATATAAAGCTGGTTATGTTTTACCACACAAGACGACAATAGTTCTCTGCACACACCTCAACACTCCTGTTTGTGCAGAATTCTGATCAGATTACAGATCATTACATCTGTTTTAAAGGTCTCTCAGAAGGTTGGGTTTTTTTTGGTCCACACATTACCAAGTAGCACAGATGGTTTGTAAGCTTGAGGGGTTTTGTTTGTTTATGAAAGAAGCACTTCATAGTGAGGAAAATTTGCTGCATCTGGCTTCAACATAGCAACCAGGATGATTTAGTCTTGTCCACTGAGATCAGCAATAGATTTCACAGCCCTGGTGTGGGAAGTTTGTCCTTAAAACAGCATCAAAGAATCAGCAAGTTTACTTTGGCCTAGTGAGATCTTTTAAATTATGCTGTATAAGGATGGAATTATGCACATTAATGACTGAAAGATAAGCCGTACGTATAGCTAATTGATTATCCAGCCTGGCTCCTCAGTCTAGATGCTATGTTCCAGCTGAAACTGTCCGGTCTTTGTAGTGGGTTGACCCAGGCTGGACAACAGGTGCCCACCAAAGCCACTGTACCAGCTGGGCAGGGGAGTGAAAATGCAACGAAAGGCTCATGGGTTGAGAGAAGGACAGGGAAAGATCACGCAGCAATTACCGACATGGGCAAAACAGACTCAACTTGGGAATTTATTACCAACAAAATCAGAGTAGGATAATGAGAAATAAACCCAAATCTTAAAACAGTTTCCCTGCACCTCTCCCTTCATCCTGGGCTCAGATTTGCTCCTCATTTCTCCACCTCCTTCCCCCAGCAGCACAGAGAGGCAGGGAATGGGAGTTGTGGTCAGTCTATCACACGGTTGTCTCTGCTACTCCTTCCTGCTCATGGGGAGGACCCCTTACACCCTGTCCCTGCTCCAGCGTGGGTACCTCCCATGGGATGCAATCCTTCAGGAGCAGCCTGCTCCTGCCTGAGTCCTCCCGGGGTCACAGATCCCGGCAGCAAGCTCCAGCCTGGGCTCCTCTGTCCATGAGGCCACAAGTCCTGACAGGAGCCTGCTCCAGCAGAGCTTGCCATGGCATCACAGCCTCATTCGGGCATCCCTGCTCCAGCATGGGGTCCTCCCTGGGCTGCAGGCGGGTCTCTTCTCCCCCAAAACCCTCCATGGCTGCATAACCCTCCATAATATGGTCAATTATGTGTTGTCCTTTTTATAGCAATCTGAAGTCAACTGGTTCTACCAGTTTTCACTTATTAATTGTCATTGTCTATCACACAAATGTAGCTTTATGAAACCATCTACATCACAGTTATTTCGCTGAGGTTTTCTTTGGTTTTTTGTTCATTTTATTTGCTAAAATAGCATATGCCTAGCAGAAACCAAATGCCTTTGATTTCAGAAAAGCAGATTTTGAAGGATAGGATATTGAACTTTTAATATAAGGCCTGATCTTTTTTCCCCCCATAGGAAACTTGTATTTGCTACCCAAAGCAAAAATATCTGCTTACCTCAGTGCAGACATTTCCTATTCTTCATATACTTAAATATCCACCAGTGTAGGAAACAGTGAATGTAATGAAGCACAGAAATTCAAATATTATTTGTAAATCATAGAACTGACACTACATTTCAGATGAGATGTCAGCTGCACTTGTGACTGAATTCTTCCCTTTTAAGTCTTGAGCTCAAATAGATATAACAATGACTTCTATTGATGATAAGTCCACATTTGACACTTTCAGTGGTATGGCCTCTAAATTGTGCACCACCTAATGAAAGAGTTGACCTAAAGCTCAGATATTTTGAAAATTAGACTTTTTCCTTGGAAGATTATCTTTGTAAATACATTAATAAATGTCTGATTCCGTTACTGAAACTGGTGGCCTAGTTTATTAGATTTCTAACTATACGACATCTTTAGACAGCTTTAAAACAAGTTCAGTGTATTACAGAATTCTCTTGAATGAAAATGAGAAACAAAGCATGCCAGCATCGATTGTAATTGTAAAGTTATGAAGTTTTAAGAAAAATAGGCTTACCCTGAATTACAGAAACAGTTCCATAGACCTTGACCATGGCTCCAAAGCAAGCGATTAAATACACGGTTAAAGAGACGATACAGATGTAAATTTTCAATGTCTGGAGCCTTCCAGACACGCTGTAGAACTGCACGAACACTTGTCTTGACTATATCCAAAACCTAGGAAAGAGTATTCCAAGAAAATGAAAGCAAAGGCATATTGTAAAACCTAAACCCAACTGTTCACTGATTCACTGCACACATACACAGAGATGACGGCACAGCTATAAATTCCCACAGATGTCTGTGTTTCATTTCTGTGCATTCATCAGTAAACTTTTATGATACGCTTTTTCTTTCAGTAACATTTTGCAAAACCAAATCAAAATATTTTATTTTTATTACAGAAAAGTTCATTTCTACTTTTGTAAGTCTGTTCAATACTATCTCATTTAAATGACAAAAAGAGTTTAACAAGAAACAAAATGGACACAATAACATACTAGAAGCAACATAATTAACAACCCAAATATTACATACTTGAATATTATCTCTTCCCCCTCCCTTTTAAAATCCTATCTACTTTATACAGAACTAAAATGTGCTGAAAAGCTACGAGCTGTCTTTGCCTACTGTCTGTTGAATCCTAGTGTTACCCTAGAGCAAACCCCTTCAGTTTACTTTTCATGCAGAAAACAGTGTCACAAAATTATAAAGAAAATAACCAGCAAGATATTTAAAATAGCAATGTTTATAGAAATGAAATGGAGCTATTAGATATGGACTACATTTAAATGCAAGTGTGTAAAGATGTGGGTGAACAAAACACCAACCTGCAGTCAGTATAGCACTGAGAGTTTTACCCAGTAAGTCTTATTAGCTACTCGGTGCACACACACACTTATAGGCAGTCACACATCCAGCTCGCCGAGAACGCTCCTTGATGTGCCTTTGCACATCACACTGATCTGGGACATGGAAGGTGAGATTCATCTTGCCTGCTTTTAACATGTCTGTGTTGTAAGTCACGTCTCTAGGTTCTCTCCATAATCACTGGAGAGAAACAGGCTCCAGAGTGTCTTGGCTTCTGTATATTTAGACACTATCAGTACAACTTGGAATAGTTTTGTGACCGTAGTAATATTTAGGCCCCACACTGGCACTCTGAACAGCATAAAATCTGTCCTACAAAAAAGTCTGTGTCACGTGTAACCTATTAATGTGATTTCTGGTAAAGGAGACACCCTTAATGTCTCTTTCGCAAAATAGCACCTTCCAGAAAAAGGTCAGATGTGAGTGGGTGGTGAACCAATGGGGGTATTCACTTATTTGGTCTAAGATGTTGCAAATTCTAGGTTTTAGAAGCTACAGTACTTGCCCAGGAAACTTTCAGATGTGCATGACAAACTGATTCACACAGTAAAACATCTGACTCTCAAAAGATGAAGAGGATTTAGTAAAAAAGTAAAGAATGGGAGCGTGGTGCAGAACTTCAATTGTTTGATCCTCCACAACAAACTGTTCACAGAATCCTAGAATGGTTTGGGTTGGAAGGGACCTTAAAGATCATCTAGTTCCAACCCCCCTGCCATGGGCAGGGATACCTTCCACTAGACCAGGTTGCTCAAAGCCTCATCCAGCCTGGCCTTGAAGACATCCAGGGATGGGGCATCCACAGCTTCTCTGGGCAGCCTGTCCCAGTGCCTCCCCACACTCTTCAGAAAGAACTTCTTCCTGATACCTAATCTAAATCTACACGCTTTCAATTTAAACCCATTACCCCTTGTCCTATCATTGCTTTTTGTAAATAGTCTGATTAGACATGATGAAGGAAACAAAGCATAAATAAACTAAATGCTTGCAAAAGCACAATGGACCTGTGTAGTAGAGAGAAATGCTTAATGGGCAGAAAATCTATAGATGCCTAATAATGACAACCTCAATGAAATAGGTTATTTACATGTTATTTAAGCTCTTTTTTAAGACCTAGGATTAGTCTGCATGCATAGGTCTTGTGCTAATTCCATTCACAGATGCATCCAGTGTGAATACAATGCTGTCCTCTCTGTCAGGAATCTTTACAAATTCAGGTGTCTAACACAATAAAACCTCACCTGTGGTCTCTTCCTCCCACAGAGTAACATAAAAAGAGTAGTAAATGACAACCTAAGGATGGTGATATTGTTTAGTGACTGCAGAGCTGCACCCAAGTTAGGGACTGCCCCACGCTTGTGGAAAGGGTCCAGATTTTCAGATATTCCCTCATCAGCATTAGCCTACTGTCTTAATGCTTCTCAAGCAGCCTTTTCTTTGAGTCTCGCCTGATTAAGGCTTTCCCACAGAAATGGCCAGTAGCTGTGATTGTATACATCCAGTTGAATCAACTAAATCCCTAAACTACATAGAGGACCAGCCATACATTCATTTGCAATGTTACCCTGAGGAATAGCAATTTATCTCTCTGTGTAAAACAGAACAATTCCATCAAATAGAGACTCTCTCACTAGTCTCAAAGACATGTACTAAGAACTATGATGCCAGTGTGCAGCATCTTCTTTTACTTTAGCACCTGGAGTTGAAGAAAACTAAGAACTGAACCTTGCATCTTAGAGCAAGCTGAGAACTGCCAGGTACTCTGGAAAAAAAACTTTCTTGCTGTTTTTACTGTGTTGTTATTGCCAATATGCCAGAGGAGAAAACACCCCAGTTAATTGTTCTTAATCAGCAAGCATGGCCTCAATCACGCATTTAAAAAAAGAGACAAGGCATTGCACAAGAGCTGGAACTTCATGGAACGGACATCACCATTTTTCTAAGTTAATTTCCCTGGTTTGCCTTCACCTTCCTGTTTACTTTAATTTACATCATTTACTTTAACATAACCAATTATCTAGGTGTAACAGAACAAGATGTTATGAAAGAGCATATTCAAAACAAAATATACAGAACCTCTGGTAACCATCAAAACACTTTTAAAGAAATTATGTAAAGTGATGTAACACAAAGCAGTCACAACTCCTCCCATAGAAAAGTTTCTTTTCCTAAAAGTCTTGCGAGTCTAAGTTTCACTTCAGCATGTATCGATTTCATCGGTTTACTCTCAACTGGCTTCTAAATGCCTCCTGTACCTCTGCTGTAATGCTGGAATATTAGACACTAAGAATATGGGCAGGAGTTTAATTTTTCTACATCCTATTGAATAATTCTTAAGAAAATATACCTGTCAGAGGTGAACATTGTGAAATCTAGCACACTGCCCAAGTATTTTCTTCTCATGTTTTAGAACTTCCCAGTAATTATAATGAAGGGGACTGAGTTTCTGGTTTGTATTTCACAAAGTTGCAGAAGGTACCTTTGAGACAGATTCCCTACTTGCATAAATATTCTCCACCTTGAGCTCACTTCTCCTTTACCCACCCCATTGGAATATAAAACATTCTTCTTTCAAATCAACAAAAGCTTACACATTTGGCAGTCCTCAGCTGCAATGTCATTGTCAAAGTTAATCCGTTTTTATAAACTACCCTTCTAAGAATAACTCTCTGATTGCTTGAAGGGATTGAGGTTAAAAGCAGTATAAAAAAAAGAAAGGCAAATCATTTCCAGTGCAAGCAAAGATGAAGGGCCTACTAGTGCTTCAGGAATTATGCCTCCTAAGCTGTAAAAGATGTCCTCACAAGAAGAGCAAAGAAATCCACATTTCTGATTGTGCAGGTTTTACTAATAATGATCTGGCATATCAACCTGTATCCTGACTTTGTACACGTGCCCTTGGTTTTACATGACTGTCAGTTCAAATAAAGGACAGAACCATCCTTGTTGTAGGATTTCTGAAATAACACTTACAGGAGAAAATTCTGACTAGATTGAAAAGAAAATTAAAAAAAAAAAGAAAAAAACACCAAACATAGACACAGGTATATTAAGGCAGATGACCAAGAGGAGTGTATAGTAAACAGCCTCAGGCCCTCAAAGAGCAGAATTATCATTCTCCCTGTGACAATTCCTTCCCCCCATTTGGGGCATGACCTGTGGGGAAGGGTTCAAAGACTCACTTTAACCACTCGTGTGTATGTGGAAGCCCTCTATCTCAGTCACAGTGATGGGCCCAGTCTGGGGACTTCTTTCCACACTTGTGGCATCTATCTCTCTACATCGCTCTATCTCTACCTCTCTATCTCTCTACCTCTCTATCTCTCCATCCATCCATCCATCCATCCATCCATCCATCCATCCAATCTATCCCACTCTTCCTCCCTCCTAGAAGCTTTTCCTCCATAGCACCATTTTCTACAAGCCGCCACTAAGACTCTCTCTTGGTTTTGGGCAAAAGGCTATGCTTGCCACTACACTTGTGTGTCCTGCACACAACAGAAAAGACCTATGTGCAAGTATATTGGGATTGCAGCACTCAAAAAAAAAGAAATAAGAGAACATTTTAAGCAAAGGACTATTTTGCAAAACAGCTGTAGATACCAAACAAAAAATAACACAATTTCAGCCAATGAGTTGGTTGCTCTACTGATTCCTGTCAATGGCACAAGAAATAATTCTGCTGAATTACAGATTTGTGCTGCTACTTGAGATGGTTTAAGAAAAATTTGGATTAAGTTACAGGCTCCTACATTTCCAAGTTCTTCAATAGGTCACGTCTAATTTAGTTTTAGAAAGCTGTGTGGACTCACATTCCATTTAATATCTGAACTTAACTTGAATAGTCAAATATATTTCTATCATATGACATCACATTAAACGGACATGTTTTCTCTGTCCAGTCTGAAAATACAAGCACTTAATGCAATATTCAATAAAATACAATTTGAAAGATCAAGGATGACAGTGATGATTTTATAAAAAGTAATTTTGAGATGAGGATCTGAAATCTTTCTTCCTTTCTTCTATAACAATCTGCCAACCTTTTCCAATTATAATATTTATCATGTATGCAGCGTTTTGATTAAGTTACTGTCTTTTATGGTCTATAAAAATAGATTGTGAAACTGAGACACACAGAGATTAAATGCCTGGAACTGATATGCTAATCCACATAATGTGTCAGTGACTGAGGCAGAGAAAGACCCAAAACACTGCCTTAGGGGCACCAAACTATTAATAACATATAATTTCTGCTACATTAAAGAAAATAAATATTACACTGGGAAGATGATTTTGTCTGATGTGACATACAGATATGACTGACATACTACATCATGTCAGTTTTTAAACATAATAAAAACTCTCTAGAAGCTGTGCAAAACAGTAGCTCCTAGATAGAAGATGAGTGAGGACAGAATGATAAACAAATATAATTAGTCCTTTGCAAAACTAAACCAGTTAGTTGAGCATTATAACAATGTCAATAATCTTTGCTTGGCAGGTCTATTTTTTATTCAACAAGATTTGTTGCAATACTGTGGGTCAAAGACTCAAATAACCAAGTGCAATATCACTAACTCTAATGGAGTTTTAATGTCTGGTCTGAAACTGCTGACTGGTTTATCCCTAATCAATCAAATCTGCTGAATCAGTACACTTCTAAGAATGTTTGCTAAAAATTAGGTATGTCAGCACTCATCATTTATTTGTTTTCTTTTCTTTCAGCAGACTAATTTTTTAAGAAATTGCTTTTGAAATTATATTCCAGGATAATTATGCTCTTCTAAATATGGAGCAACATAATTTCCTGCAATGGGATTAACTGATACAGATGTTAGCATTAATAGCCAGTATTTTAGCATCTCAGGTCACTCCCAGCTACTGCCAAACACCAGCAGAAACACTGTGAAGCGCATACTTCAGATGATCTTCAGAAATAAAATGTGTCACTTACTTTTCGTTGTTTTACAGAATCCAGTTTTACCAACCAATAGGATGCCACTCTTGTTTTATGATATTTCCAATTATCCATAATCTGCAGTCCATTGCAAAACACAAGATAAAAGACATACACATAAAAACAAGTGAAATCTGGCATTTTATTCAGCGGCATAAAACATCTAAAAGACTCTGTGAAAAGAACTTTTCTTTAAAAGAAATAGAAAAGTATTTGCAAATTTCTGTGGCAGCATGTTTGTGAAGATGTGTGCAACCTTTCAGTTTAATCCTACCCTCTTTTCCACCTCATTCTGAGTGTCATGCACTACAAAGCAGGTAGAAACTCCTCTTGACTGACTCAGCTGGGATTCCTTGAACAGAGCAGTAAGTTCAATAGCGCATAACCGTTAATCTACTTAAATTGCGAGGGTTTTGCAGCATAAAGGACATTTAGACATATATTGAAAACAACCATTTTATATATGATCATATATGAACTGCAATACTCTCCTTTTATGATGCCTAAGTGCTACCAAATAGCTCGAGCTGTGAACATACATTTTTATTTTCGTTTTGTTGTTTTATCTTTCCATTCTCTTCCAGACCTATGACAAGTTCTGCCTCACTGACAACTAATATACCATTACTTGCTTCCTTCCCTGATGAAATATTATTTCACAGCAGCAACTAGCTAAGACCAGACAAATTTATAAAAGGATCCTGCAATAAAGTAGATGAGGAAGCACCACTAGGTGGAGTGCATACACACACGCTCCCATATGTGTGTAAATGCACACACATTCTCACGTCTGAAGGAGAAAATTCAATGAAGAATCTTATTTCTGAATTCTAAGATGAGAAACTAAATATGCTAGTTATGAATGCTATCTTCCAGAATCACCCAAATCAACCATCATTGCAAGAGAATTCCTTTCCACTATGATGTAGTTGCACAGCTCACCAGAGGCATAATCAACATGTTGAAAGTTCACAGAGCAAAGGACATTTCCAGATAGTGAATTAGATTAATTTTAACACACCGTGGACTGTGCATACTACATCAGAATACAGGTGTTAGTTTAAATTGCTAAATCCCTCCGTACCTCTACTAGACTGAGAAAAGAATGTCCATCTTCTTTTCTTTTCCAAGCTGACATTAAGTTTCTTTGCCCTAGATATTTTAAAGGGATTTAGATACCACTTATTTTCTGCTTATATATCTGAATGTTAGGTGTTGCTTTTTAATTGCCCTTTAGATGGGGCATTGTTTCACATCTCTGATACCAACTGATGCAGCTCAGGGCAATGTTGGATGTAAGAAAGAGTAAGCTGGGAGATTAGAAGAGCCAAGGAGAATGTGACTGGTGTTCTTTATGACTAGCAAATTTCCAGTTTACCTTGCAGCATAACATTCTGAGTTCTCCAGTTGCCCTATTCGAGAGCAAGTTAAACATGTCAGGATCTGTACTAACAATATCAGATGAAATATAAACTGTTAATGAATTGTAACATTCTTCTTGGCTCACTTAAAAGTTTGAACTTTCTCCACAATTTAAAAATGAATTTTTCTAACCTTGCTGATTGTTTCTCATATATTTTATAAAGGCACAGGAATGTTTTCTGTGCTGCTCTTTTAAGGTCAGAAAGTATGCAAAGCTCCAAGGTTTTGAAATCTTTCGAATTAACCTGAGTTATGGAAGTTTTAAGGCCACAGGAGCTCTTGAATCATAAATTGAGCTTTCCACTTTCCTTCATTTTAGTGGCCTAAACAAAGTGTCTGGCTTGTAATTCTTCTTTCTTATTTATAGATACTTACATCTTCTATAATTAATTCTGATTCTTCTTCTGTTTTTCCTGGGAACTTCATTCTCATGTCATTCATAATGAGAAGAGTCTCTTTTGTCAAAGCAACTTCTTGCTCTTTTGTTTTCTGTTGCAGCAAAGACTCACTCTAAAAACCAATATGAAGCAGAGGAAAAATTTCAGGCTCATCAGATCACATTACAAAGATCTTTCCTTGACAAAAATCAATTCTAAATAGGGTGACATAAAATATATTATCCAAGTCTATAGTTCTAATAACTAATACATAACTAATATGCACACATATGCCTCATGTACAAATGTATCACCATTACTTATAATTGTGAAGAAATTCAGGAAAAACAGTTCAAATGTGAGTTTGTTTGAAACAGAATAAACAAATATGTACTTGATATTTATGATGCCAACCATTTAAAATATAAATTTGAAATTTTAGATAACAGATTTGAATTTAAATTCAACATAATGAAAAGAAATTTTTAGTCATAAAAATCTTCCTTTAAGTTCTTCACTGCAGCAATTTAACAGAAACTGCCAATTATATGTCACTGTGCCAAAATTTCAGGAAGCATTAAAACGTAAAGATGTTTTGCTCCCGCTCCGGTCAGCAGGGGTTCTGACACTGTTGGTTGTCTAAGATGTTGTTTACATCAGTGCTTTTTACAACACCAACTTGAACCTCTATAGTATCTACGGAGGACCACCCCTGGAGGGGTTTGGGGTTTTCTTTAAATCTTAGACACCAGTTAGAGGTATTTCTGACCCTTTTTCTTTCCCTTTGCATATTTTTCTGTTTACAAGATTAAGTGAGCTTAATTTTATGTTTTTCAAGAGTGAAATTCAAAATTTTAGGCAATTCTAAATCTTAGTATTTTGTAAGAACTACAATACTTACTGAAGGATATTTTTGCCTAAGTGATAAATATTCTAAAGCTTAACAAAATATTTTGCTAGATGATATATAATAATGTGGCTGAAATAATAAGATAGCAAATATTTCCAAATTCACCTTTGTTTATAACTGCTATAATAATGTGTCCAATAATTCCCAACAGTAAATGACTTATTCTAAACATAGTTTCTGTACCTTTAGTTCATTTGGATCTCAGCAGCCTCCAACAATGGCACTATACTGCTCTTTTCTTTCCGAAAGGTTAGATAACTAACACTTTATCACACACAAATGATTTCTTCTTAATAAGTTACAGTTTATCAATTCAAACTTTATTCTAGCAATAATATATAGCATATTATTCTTAGTTGCAAAAATAATTATGAACAGAGTTCCGTTCACAATACAGTGCTAAATTACAAGTAGTTCTTACCCATTCTCTAAGTAATTTTATTCACATTATTTTAAGAAGCATGACCTAAGCTCTATCACCCAACTTAATTGTTCTGTATATCAAGATCATTTCTGTGGTGGAGCTTTCTCAATGAAAAACAGAGGATGGTTTCTTACTAATGTTAATTTAAGTGACTAGCCCATTTTTAATGTCAGACGTTAAGAGACTGTTTTTAATCTTCCAGTAATTTGTATTTGATATAGAGTTAATGTGAATAGAAAAATCTATATTACCCCTGTCTCATTAAACTCTCAGAGTACATCTTGATGATAAAAGGGAACTTTTTAAACTTGAGATAGCTAATGTGATAAAAAATACCTTTAACACGTTGTGGTGAAGACACAAGCTTAATGTCTTTCCAATTCTATTAGCTGACTTTAAAGATGGAAAACCATGTTAAGGAGTATTTCACAAGATGTCAGCACACAATTTTAAAAGGATCCTTTTTCATCATTTAGACAAAGCCTCACAGGCAAAACAGACACTGAGCGTTCTACTGGATAAAAATGATGATTAGAGATAGTAAATACTATCAAGCAAGTTCATTAGCATTACAAAATGATTTCTCACAATCAAAGCTCACCACAATACGGAAAGGCTTCAAATATGGTTTTGCCCCATCTCCAGATGAATTATTTGGGTGATGAAATACACAGGTCAGGCACCAAAGCACGAATGGAAATGCAGTGGTACCAGCACTCAATACAATCCTGGCTGGGGACTGATCCCAGCAAATTCTACCTAGGAATAAGCGGGTATGTGGTCCACCATGCAAACACAAATGAAGAAATGCTTGGGCTGTGAAGGAGATGCCGAAGAGGATGACAGTCTGGTCACAGAAGGACAAAATGTATGGTTCAGAAGTACACTGCCACTAACCACACAAAATCTAAACAGCTAAAAGTGCTTAATTTTATTTATTTATTCTATTAATTATTTAGTTAGACCAGCCAAGTCTAAATGTTTGTCTGTCTCAGGAACAGGCATCAAAATGATTGAAGTTTTATCTTCACTTTACAAAAAAAGATAGCTTCTGATACAGTTACAGCAGTGGCAAATCCTAAATGTGACAGGAACAACCTATAATTTTTAAATTGTTCACTTTGGAAGTAGAGCTCTACTGCAGTGGTACAGTATATGCAAATCAAGAATAGTAGGTTGAAAATTAATTACAGCTTCTACAATGGATGCCCACACGAAGTCTTACTAACATTTTATTCCGGTACAATGTGCAGTATACACTGGTTTTGAAATATTGATGTATTTTTGTTACTGTAAAGATTTTGAACATAGGTACATCTTATTTCAGAACCAGCAGTCCCCAATCAAATCAAAACAAAAAAACTCCTGTCTTCAAAGGAGGAGAGCAGGTTTCCTAGTCAAAAAAAATCAAGATTTCCGTTTTCACAAAATGTGCCAACTGTATTGCTGCACCAGCAACACTGGAACATCACAGCTAGCACTCACCATGAGTCATATGCAAGTCTAGAGTTTCCAGAGTTTCTGTGAAAATAGCATTGACTATAGTACCTCAGGTTTTCTGACACTGTGAAAATTAATAATGTATTTATTGAGTTTTAGAGAAATGGAATACATTTTGAATGTAACTGCTATGTTAACTCACCCCTGAAGAGTTCATAGGTCCCAAGCTGGGTGTCTGAGAGACTCTGGCTGAAGATGGGCTGCGATTTAAAGAATGAGACCTATTCACTGAGGATGCACGCTGAATTTGCAGAGACGCTTTGGCTGAAAAGGGACGTTGCTCAGCTGCCTGTGACTGCACAGTCAATACTGATATTGAACGAGGGCAGCTTACAGAACGCCTTATTGGACCTGCAGACGATGTGGGGGATGAATATGATGGAGATTTTACATTTTTAATTGAAGGTTTCCAGTTCATTCTACCTGCAGACAAATTAAATTAACAACAAAATTAGTGACTATTCTTTTAACACCCATTTTTCAGTCTTTGTAACTAACCATATGTATGACTAACGTGCGCACATATGCTGTCCTATAATGTATTGCCATGGATTAACTCCGGCTAGCAAAATA